ATTTATAAAAAGGACTTAGAAATATTAATTTTCAAAGATGCTTCTATACCTGGTATTTCATTATATGGACTATTTTGTGGTGGTGTTTCATTTATTATAGTTTCAATTGCTGGAATTTCATTTGTTATAGTTTCACTTGCTGGAGTTTCACTTTCTGTGGTTTCATTTGTACTAGCATAACGCACTAAAGAAATTCCTGTAATTCTATAGTTTCTATGCAGATTCAATAAAGAATTATTTCTAGGAATCCTTTTTTTCTGAGTGACTAAATGGATATGTCTATGTGTAACAATTTCCTAAAAAAAAAAAATTTTCGTTGAACAAGTATTTTGTCATATTAGCTTCTAAATAAAATATACAGATTATTATAAAATATAATGTGCATTAGTATATAGTACATACAGGAAATAGAAGTAACACATTATTTATAACACTGTTATTACCACAAGTTACTTTTTTTGATAATAAATTGGTAATGAATTTAAATTATCTTTTTTTTTAATAATTGTAATAATAACTAAAATAATTACGTTCTTTTGGTAATGAATTTTACAGTTACTTTAATTGTTATATATTTTATATTTTATATTTTATATTTTATACTTATTTATATACTATGACATAATTTTTTAATATTCAATCTTTGGACAATATTCATAATTTATTCTTACCTTAAGATTGTTTTAAGTAATATCTAAAGATACTAATATGGCTCTGATTGATTTATGATGAGAAGAATCATGTTATAAACCAATCACAGAACTGTATTAAAGACAAACTTTATAAATATCAATCTTTAAGTTTGACAGAAATGATGTATTACAAAATTTGTAAAAAATATCACCTCAGTTGGATTATGTTTCAAGACTAGAAATTTCATATGTATATGTATAAATTCATTCTGAAATATTACGAAGCTCTAGCTCAAATTAAAAAAGCATTTTCCTTCTTGTGTTTTTACATATCAATTTAGTATCATAATCGTTTACTGTTTTCCTTAATATTTAAACAAAAAATATTACACAATTTTTTAAACTGATTTTACTTACTTTAACATAAAAAAATAACACAAAAAGTAACATTACTTTTTAAGTAGATAACAATAACAGTAAAAGAATTATTTTTGAGAATCAATAACGATAATTATTTACTATTATTACTCTTAAAAAATAACTTTTCATTCCTTGAATATTTATATATAGAATATATTTATAAAATGAAGAAACAGAAGTAAAAGCAATATATAAATCCTATATATCAATGTACATAATAAATTAAATGTATTTAGTACGGAATTATTAATATGTATACACATATTTTTTTCAGAATTTGTGTGTCCATCTTAGAGTCAATAAGATACTTATTGATCAATTTCTTTTCATTAAAATATAAACTTGTTTTATAATTCTTGCCACCAGGTAATAACTTTTTAACCTTTAAAAAGCCGCAAAATATTTAGTATTTTACCTGCGAAATCATGTTTGATTTTAGCAATGCTTGCCGGCGAATGATTATGGATGCTCGCATCAACATTTCTGCGCCTTTCAATTGAATCGTTGTGATTTTTGATTAATTTATAAAGTATGTAAGTTTCCACGTATAAGAAAAAAAATTCAGACGTGATCATGTTCTGTGCGGACCAGTGATGATATATCATGGTATATGCAAACGTATGGAAATGGTGGAAATGGTCGCATTCAGCAGACTCAATGCTCGCTGTTATTGGCTGATCTAGAAGAATATACCAATAGCAGCGACCGTTCACGGATCCGCGGATAATCGAAGAACGATGATATTATCGACAATTAATAACAATTTGCGATTATTAATAGCGATTTCGGGAATAACGTGCACTGGTGCATATCAAGACCGTTATACTCTGTTAATTCCTATCACCGCGGCAGTATATGTTTCGTCAGGCGAACACGAGATTCACGAAATGCGAATCTCATTAAGGGTTCTCTACATAGAAATTGTAGACGGTCGTGAAGTCTTAATTCGTAGGAAATTGATCAATTTTAATCGAGTATTCTCCTTAAGCCGGTTCTACATTAATTGCAAGCTGATTGTAAGTTTGTTGCGGCAGTCACTATGAACCGTTGATTTCAAAAACTTCAGATTGGCTGTCGCAACTTTGCTTGCAACTAATGTAAAACCGGCTTAATGCGCATGATGTCCGGCTTAATGCGCAGAAATCCAAAAATCAAAGGAAAGTGAAGCGGATTCAGCCGGAAGCCGCCATTCGTTAGAGTGAGTAGGAGATATAATAGGAACGTAATGGAACGGTGCTGCACACACTAGTATCGCACTAGTATTGTGTATATATGTTCATGCACATTTGTGGAAGTGAGCAGATAAATAGAGTGGAACCAATTAGAAAAGAGAATGCTCGACTCTTCTTCGATTCTCTCTGGAGGTTTGTTCCAACATGCTCCAACATGCTCCTGCCATAGTTCCTACTCACTCTAATGAGGGCATTGGAGTGAGCCATGACAGAAGCATATTGGAGCATGCGGTGCGACGCGAACAAACCGAAATCTATCTTTTTTGTCCTCATCGTTCACCGAATATTAAACAAGGATAAAATGATACATTATGTGATACATTATGCATACACAACGGGTGCTTTCCAATTGTTTACACATCTTAACACAACGTACACAGGAACGCACAAAGTGCACGATTCAATTGGGATAGAATGTGCATGGTTGAGATCCGTTTCGAATAGAGTTAGATTAAATGTAGCTTTTTCCTGTATTAAATAAAAAAAGATAAAAGTGCCGGCCACTCAATGTCTTCCTTATTTATAGTCGCTGCAGTTAGTAACATGTAATTGTCATTAGAAAACCAAGCTTACACAGTCCTCGACTGAGTACAGATGACTGAGCGTTGTGTTGACGATAATGAACAATTGGAACGCAACTTGTGTCGCCAGTCGCCGTGTGTACGAAAGTGTCTAGGGAAATTGCAATTGGAAAGCACCTAGTATGTCTGAAAAGTTCCCGGACTGATTTTTTTTCTTATGAGACAAATCGCCCCATCTAACGGCCGACGTTAGAAATAGTTTCTAAGAAGCTTCATGCAGAACATGTGCGAGTTATTAATATCGATTGAATACTTGGCAAGTAAGGACGTGTTTTGATTTATGTATTTAAACGTGTCGTTCAAGTTTTACGATGGAGCAACGAGCGTGTATTAAGTTTTGTTTCAAACTTGGCAAAACTGCAACAGAAACTCACGAAATGATGAAAACAGCGTTCGGAGAGGATGCACGCATAGTAACATTCGACTGGTTTAAACGTTTTAAGAAAAGCCGGCAATCACTGGATGACGATGCAAGAAGTAATCAACCAACGGCTCAATATGAGAAAACTATGGAAGCTGTGCGTTCTTTACCGAGGACCCTCATCTGACACTTCGTGCGATATCTGAACAGTTAAAAATAAAGACACTGTTTCTATTCCATCATTCATGGGGAGATTTGAACCGTAGAAAAATTTGTGCGCGCTTTGTTCCACATTTTTTAACTCCAGAACAGAAAGAAATGCGTGTGAATTGTTGTCGTGACTTTGTTGAAATGGCAGACAAGGATCCAGATTTTATAAAAACTCGGTGATACTGGTAACAAGACATGATATTTCATGTACGATTCGCAAACAAAGAGACAGTCGACTACATGAATAGCCTCTAATTAAGCGAGACCAATAAAAGTTCAAAAATAAAAAATAAAAAACAAAAATAAAAAATGAAGATAATACTCGTCGTATTTTTTGATTCTGCAAGATTTATCATGAATTTGTGCCACCTGGCCAAATCGTTAATTCGATATTTTATTTAGAGGTTTTTCAGACATATTGTATATAATGAATATTCTTTGTTGTTCATAGAATATTAAACAAGGGATGCCTTCTGCATAATGTACATGATGTATCACATTATTTTTATTATTCATCCTTTAATAATTAATCTTTTTTCAGTTGGTCAAATGGAACTGTTTTGCTGTCAGTTTTGTCAGTTAATTATCTGTAACTTGTGGAAAGGATTCTTTTTTTTCATACATGCAAGGTAAGACAAATTTTCCATTATCTTCATATTTATTCAATAGATTTCATTGTTCTTCATTGGACAGGAATATTTCATTTATATAAAATACATTTTTAATAACATAAATCTTGGTAAAAAATTGTTCATGCATGAACATATATAAATATATATAAACATGCATAAATATTCATAAATATGTATAATCATATACGAAATATATCCATACATGTTCATATATCCTTCTTTTTTTTGTAAAATTACTTTTTAATATAATAAAAATAATAATAGTAATGTGAAAATATTAAAAATAATTAAAAATTTTCATACTATTTTTAGAAAAAAAATCGAGTTAGAAGAAATATAAAAAAATTAAAATAGATATAATTATACTTATGTATAATTATATCTAAAGTTATGCATAATTGTATATTTTTTTTATATTTTTAAAAATTTGTTTTTGTTTTTTTCTGAAACAAACAATGCGAAAATTATCTCTTTAATTTTTAATGTTTTCACATTACTATTATTATTTCTGTTACACTTATTTAAAAAGTAATTTTATAAAAGAAAAAGAGATGTATGAATATGGACATATTTCATATATGATTGTACATGTTTATGAATATTTATGTATTTATACATGTTTATGCATATTCATGCATGAAAAATTTTTTACCGGGGCATTATTTTTTCAAGTAACGGTAATACATTATTTTTTGAAATAAGTAACGAATAACAGTAACACATTAAAATTTCTTTTAAAGTATGTTCCTAATTTTGACTTTATAAATGATTTTGTACATTATGCAAAAATTTGTTGACCTCTGTAGGAAGAATGGAACATGATTTATAAATGTTACAAAAAAAAAATTAAAAATTCCGGTTAAATACAAGTACAAGAGTAAGAATCTTATAAAAATTTTCACTGTTATTGTCTTAATTTATTATCTTAATTTATTATATATTATTCTAAAATATATCGATTTTTTAAAAATTTCTTTTCATAGTTTTAATTTAAAATTTTTCAATATTTGGAATCTATATGTACAAATAAATATTTTTTAGAATTTTTCCAATAAATTGGTACAATAAAACAGTAAAAAATTTGATTCTTATTGTTGCTAAGTATTGAACAAGGATGAAATAATTCTCTGTAATACTACATAGTTCGAAAACATTCGAGTTTGGTGAACATATTGGGAAGCTCGGTAATATTTCCAAACAGGCCCATAAATGTTTAATGAGCAAAGTTAGGATCTCTATTTTCTTCTAATTCTAAGCGCTACGTGCCGTGACAATGTTATAAGAAACAGTCGTTTACGTTATTGTAACGATCTAGCGTAGTAAAGCATCGTGTAGAGCAAAAAAAAATATATTTGTTGGATTTGTAACATTGAGTAACAGATTATTAAAATAAATTATAAAATTAAAAATTTTAGCATTTATGTATTAAAATAGCTTTATAACATATAAAATTATGCTATGCTACACCGGTATAAACAGCAGTGCTTCTTGCGATGCTGCAGCGATTTAGAGTAACAAAAACAGCATCGACATCCGGATTCTGGTAATGAGTAGATAAAGTAGATGAAAGAAATCTAATGTATATAGCATATTATATCAAATATCGGATTAATGACAATAGATTTATTGTTTGTAAATGAACAATTTATCAATCAGATACTTGATGCTGAAGTAGTACTTGATACTTGATGAAAATAATGCGAACATTGTAACTCCCATACAATATTAGAGAATAATATAACAGTAATAAGTAATATAACAAATTCTAACTTGAGTCCTAAAGATCAGTATAATACAAATAAATTCTACTAACTACATTTAATGATTATATATTTAGAATAATGCTACATTTATATTGAATAAAGTAATTGTAACATTCTTTTCTTATTTTTAGACGCATAACGCATTGAAAATATGCTCAATACTGCAGCAAATTAAGATAATAATGAGAGTCACCTTGTTGAAGAGCCAATTGTTGAAAATATTAACTGGAAAATTTGAATTTTAAGCAAGGTCAGTCTGCAAAAAATTTATATATTTTTTAAGAGTATTACAAATTTAATTATTTAACATATTTCTTATATGTTCATATTCACTTACATATTTTTTACATGTTCCGTTTCGCGAAATTTTAAATGATTTGATTATTATATCGCGTAGGTAACTCATTGGTAACCTATGATATTTTTGTTATATTTATTAAGAAGGTTTTTGCGTTTGATGAAATATTAGACAAGTCTATAATATATATGTAATACAAAAATTAATGATATCAATATCTAAAAAAAAATTTCGTTGACTTTTACCATATGATTTTGATGATATTTAATTATAAATTTTACGTTAATTTTACGTTACAAATTAAAATAATCCTATTCTGTAGTTATTCTCTTTTAAATTGAAACACTTGCGTATAAGAGCAAGCAATTTAAAAATTGTTATAATAAAATAAATACTTAAGTTTGTTCTCGTAAGTTTCATTTCAACTAAACGTACAATTAACAAGAAATTTATTCTTCAATGAAAAAAGCTAGAATATATGTCAAATGGACGATGTATATACATCAAATGAGCATCTTATTTTATTTTGCCATTTTGAAAATATTTAATATACATATAAAATTAACATTAATTGTGAATAATGAATAAGATATTGTTAGTAATACTTTTATTCCATTTTAATTGTTTTATATATTGTTATGAATCAACTGTTTTTTGATTACAAAGCAAGAAATTCCTTAAATAACACATACTTTTTATAATGATTAAAAAATTACAAAAATTGTAGAGAAGATGGCTTATTGTATTTTATTATATATACTATGATTATATGTGATACAAAAATGTATTTAATATAATTATTTATTAAAATGCGCAATATTTCGTTAGTCTTGAAACACAGTCTCTAAATTAAAGCCAGAGCAAGAATTCACAAATTAAATTGACAAGTAATTTAATAATTTGATGCTAATCAACAATTCATATGATAGCCCAGGCGATAAGTAGTTTTACCTGGAAAGTTTCGAGGAAGTTTTGATATTTGGTACAAATTATGTAATTTGATGCCCTTATAACAAATTTACATTTTGCCACCAAAAAATTGACGCGCCGGCGCCGCCATGAAAAAAATGGCTTAAAAATAGCTGAAAAATCAGTTTTTCGCGTATATTTCATTCCACGTGCGTTTGTCGAAAAAAATACTTCTATAACAAATTGTAGAGCAGAAAATTTCCTATAAATTCTGTCTAACAAATTTTACACAAATATTAAGCACTACATACATATATATAAGTAAAATATTTTGAATATTTCACAATGTTATTGATTTTATTATTAAAAAAATTCGTAAAACTAGATTTAAAAATGATCACTATTGAGAAGCATGTAAAACTCATAGCATGGAAGAAAGTGCCACAAAATATGGCACTAGAGCAAAAGCAAATTATAGATATATTTCAAGATCTGCCTTTAAAAAATATGAATAAATCTTGAATTAATGGAACAAAAGCTGAGCAGTAATGTATTTTATCAAAATGAAATGATAAATGCATTAAATATTTTAATTTTGCAAAGCCTATAAAAAAGGACAAAAATGTTGAATCTGATAAGTATTTATTTTTTATATGAAAGAAAAAATTCTAATATAAATCGTTTCTTAAGCAGTTTTATATCATACTTTTAAATATTAAAATCTATTATCTTTAGAAATATTTAACATTTGATCCATGTAACATTTGTAATGTAATCTTCAAAAGATAGTAAATTTATAAAATATACACACACATACACACATACATACGCGCGCGCGCGCACATTGAAGAAGCATCTTTACATGTGTATGGAAATTGCAAATTCTAATATTTTTAATGAAAGATGTTTCATAAGAAAATAATTCAAATAACAAATTTAAATTGTGTATTATATATATATATATATA